AATGCTGCCTTGAAAAGAAAAAGACAAAAAACAAACCAAACAAAAACATGAATACTCTTAGAACTTTAGCACAGTCTGGGAAGGTTACTGACTGTAACACATACACAAAACTTACTAGGTGGATATTTTATGCCCAGGACCTAGGAAATTGATTTTTATGAGGGAAGGTCTGATTTATAATATTGACTAAAACTATGACAAGCTTGGCAATAAGTTTAAAAAGGAATTCTTGCTTGGGAGGCTGAGGCAGGAGGATCACAAGTTCAAACCCAGCTTGTGTAACTTAGCAATTTAGCAACACCCTGTTTCAAAATAAAAATTAAAGGCTGGGCGTGGTGGCACATGCCTGTAATCCCAGCACTCGGCAGGCTGAGGCAGGAGGATCATTGCGAATTCAAGACCAGCTTGGGCTACACAGAGAGCTCAAGCCCAGCCTGAACTGCATAGCAAGATCCTGTCTCAAAAAAACAAAAACAAAACAACAAAAAAAATTAAAAACAAAAAGTGAGAAACAGTCAAGGATGCAATCTATGCCCAGTTCTTGGGTTCAATCCACAGTACAAAAAAACCCTACAAAGTTTAAGACTTCTAGGGAGGGATATAGCTCAGTGGCACAAGCGCCTGCCTGGCAAGTGCAAGGTGTTGAGTTTGATTCCCAGTACCAAAAAAAAAAAAAAAGGAAACAAAGCTTTTGGCCAGGCGTGGTGGTGCATGCCTGTAATCCCAGCACTCGGGAGGCTGAGGCAGGAGGATCGTTGCGAATTTGAGGCCCGCCTGGGCTACAAAGTGAGTTCAAGACCAGCCTGAACGGCACAGTGAGATCCTGTCTCAAAAAGACAAAACAAAACAAAACAAAGCAAAGACCTCTATGGTGATAACTTACTTAAGGACACTTAAGACTAAAACTCAACAAAGAACCAGATGACATCATGGAAGAGCAAAGGCTTCTGGGATATGGATGGGGTTACAGGGGACAGGAGTGACATTTTATCTTAAGTCTAGAACTGTTATTTGACTTTTGTTTTTTTCCTAAAACAATAGAAATTTATTTTTCACAATTCTAGAGGCTAGTGACTTTTTAAACAACATGCTAAAAATGAAGTCAAACTTTTGAGGAGGGGATGAGAAAGCGTCTCCCTATGTAGCCCAGGCTTGCCTTAAACTCACTATTTAGCTCAGGATAGCCTTGAACTGACATCAGTCTTCCTGCTTCAGCCTCCCAAACGCTGGGATTACAGGCGTGTGCCACCACACCTGGCTTGAAATCAAACTAAAAATTTCACAAGCAAAAACAGATTTATGGCAAGCGATGGGATAATTTTGGAACTTTGAGATTAATTTTTTTAAAGAATCAAGTACCTTCCAGAAAGTCTGTGCTCAGTCACACCCCCACAGGCGCAGGGTGCGCACGTCCAGGCCCAGCGCTGCCCCCGTGCAGCCCAAGCGAGGGCTCCGCGGCTGAGCAGCACCGCAGGCTCTGCTCCTCACCGTCCTGCCAGTGAGCGGCTCCTGCTGTGCTGCGCCGGCCCGGACTGCACCCTCATCCACCGCAGAAGGTCTGGGGAAGCCAGGGAGTGCGTGTCTCGGCACCCGAGTCGCAGGCTCACCCCACGCCGGCCGCAGGCGCGAGGAGGAGCGAGACCACACGGGGCCCTGTGCAGCCGCTGTCGGGGGTGGAGCGACTTTGCCGGGGGAAACAGCCGGACCCTGGCGCTGGGCTTGCAGCCACTGTCTGTGATGTCTTTATCCTGTTCATGGTCAACCCCACCAGAACGCTTTGCTCTCGCCCGGCAGGGATGGCAGCACACCTTCCTTATGTTGCTTCCCGGCTGCAAATTCTCCTGCTCTCCAGTGTAATATTGCCCACTGATTTTTCTGAGTAAACTGTATTGTTTGTACCTTATTTTTGAAAAAGAAAGCTGAGAAAAAACATTTAATTTTTGTTTGAGTGACCTTGGGTGTTGTTTAATCACAGGTCGTGATATAGTACCTGAGGGCCTAGTACCCGAGAGGAATTGAACCCAGGGCCTTCACACTGAGGTGCATCCTAGGCCCTTTTTATTTTTTATTTTGTACAGGGTCTTGCGCAGTCACTAGGTTGCCCAGGCTAGCCTCAAACTTGTGACCCTCCTGCCTCAGCCTCCTAAGAGTACTGGGATTACACAGGCATGCACCACCACACCCAGCTTCTTATCATGGATTTTTTTTTCATTTTTAAAATATTTGCAGTAAAATGTACATAAAATGAAACTTTCTCTTAACCATGTTTAAGTTCAGGGCGATGGACTACATCCATGCTGTGGAAACCACAGCCGCTGCCCAGCCCAGAGCTTTTATTATCTGGAAAACCCAACTCCCAGCCCGTCAGTCGATTCCCATGCGTTTCTCCCCGCACCCCGGCAGACACCACCCCACCTTCCTCCTCGAGGCGTGGGTCCTTGGGGTCCAAGCGTGCCCCTGTTTGTGTCTGAAAAACAGGAAGTGGAGTGACAGGCCTCTGCCACGAGTGACTCCATCCTGCTCTGCTCCAGCCCTCTCTGGCCCCCGGGCACAGCCTTGCCTCCACGTTCCGGACGGACGTCTTGGCCTCCAGATAAGAATGTGCCACCGCCTGGAGATTAGCCCCTCTGGTCAGTGTCCAAGCTCCAGACGGCCCGGCGGAAGCCTGGGAAACGTTGGTTTCTACATGCGTGCAGCCCGACCCTGGTCCCATACAGACACCGCTGCTCCCCCCAGGCCCAGGAAAGGGGGAGTCCCTCTCCCCTACTGTAGGCTGTAGGCGTGTTAGAGGCCTTAATAGGACACAGCCAAAGGGTGGGAGAAAAACCTGAAAAACAATGTCAGGGCCTGCGATTTCCAGCCCTCCAGAGGGTTACGTGGCTTGGGGGATTTTGCAAGCTCCCCAGAGCACCCTCAGCCTGCCGGCGGGGCTCTCCTTCCTGTCTCAGCGACTTCGACTCCTGCCGGCTTGGAAGCTTTGGCCTCTGAGGGGATGCAGCTCAGCCCCGCACTCAGCAGAGGGCTCGGGCGATAGTGCACCTGGTCGCTTGGGGTTCAGTTCGCAAGGCCACTGAACTCTACCGAGGAGGGATGGCTCTCCTGGCTGGTATGATGGTTCTGAGGACTATGAATGTTGTCAAAATCCAAGTGGAGTTGCTTATGTCAACCCTGACAAATAAATCAACAAAGCCAAAGTTATGAGGGGAGGGTCTCATACTTGGTTGCCTGGCAGCAGCTTTCACCAGACTCTGCCAGAACCATGACACCATGACAACTATGACAACCACGATAGCATGACAACCGGGACACCATGACAACTGGGACACCATGATACCATGAAAACCAGGACACCATGACAACTGTGATGCCATGACAACCAGGATACCATGACAACCAGAACACCATGACCACCATGAGACTATGACACCATGACAACTATGACACCATGACACCATGACAGCCAGGACACCATGACCACCATGAGACTATGACACCATGACAACTATGACACCATGACACCATGACAGCCAGGACACCATGACCACCAGGACACCATAACCACTGTGACACCATGACAACCAGGACACCATGACAACCAGGACACCAGGACACCATGACAACTGTGACGCCATGACAACCAGGATAACGTGGT